AGAACTATATTTTCCATATTTTTTCTATATTTTTATATTCTATATTTTCGGCCTTATTTTGTTATATGAAAATACATCTCAACCATGTTATTGGTCAATTTCATCACGATAGGTACTTAATTATTTGATCATGGCAAAACCGACCATTCAATACATCAAGAGTTACCGAGATATTGCAATTGTTACAAAACTGACACCTCTTCGTTTTGCACGTGGCACGTGCATAAGGGGTCACAATACATGCATCGGAAATAGTCCAATACTTGGTAGAAGGAATGATGAAGCTACCCTACTAAAATTACCGCATGTAAATCGGTCAAGTGGTTGCTGAGAAGTGAGACATAAGCCTCGCAAAAGCGTGACCACGGCCGGCCGGCCGCTCATAATCAGAAATTTCCGTTAATCTACGAAAGACTACGCACGCTTCGCTCGCTTCGTAACTACTGATGCTTCCTCTCTTTTCCACTGAAGCATAAGGTGCATGTTTATCATATGGGTGCATAAGATGCAGGTTTATCCAAGGAAAAACTGTTAACTGTGTTCCTTGAATTATTCTGGCATGCGCCAAATCGCGGTTTTAGGCGGCAATTTATTTGAAGTGCACTTATCCCGACAGAAATGAGCCAAATGTGCTCCAAATTACGTTATTTACTTCTCATGCTCTTTGCATATCACTGTGTGAAAATAAACTGGATCGATCCGGAACACGGACGTATAAATAAACTGGACCCGCAACCACCTCCATTCAGGTGAAGCCGAGAAGGCGCCATTTTACGTTGCCAAAAAACCGTGCTCTGGAAGGTCATCGAGCCAATACAATTAGAATTGCGTCCAAACGGATGATCGGATCGAGATGCTGGTGGTACCGTTCGACGGGTAATTCCTTGAGGCAGTTGATGATGGGTGTCACATGTCACCCGGTGTCACATAGCGCGTGCCACGTGCCGACAAACTTACAAAGGGCAAAAACCTTTAAGCGACACTTCAAATCAAACGAAGGGCGGCTCAGGTGCCAAACTCACAGGGCACATGTCCCAGTGTTCGACCACTAACATATGGTATGCTCGGCGTCAGGGGGTGCGGAATGCACGCGCTAGTGGCGAAAAACATGTTTTGAGGAGGCATCCTCCGATTCCGGAAAACCTTGACCTAGGCACACCAAATTTGGCACACTGACACTACTGGACACGCGCTTTAAGGTGCTGTACAAATAGGCGTGCTGGGGTACACGGTGCACGTGCTGTGCACGTGCAAACCTTTTGATGTTGCACCCGGTGTCACATATGCGGGTAGGGCGGGTAGCGCTGGCAAGCTCAAAATGCCAAATTTACACAGGCCACCCAGAATGTATTCCATGCATAGTTATTGAGCATATCCATCTCCTGGTGGCCCCCAAAGGTGCGCTCTGCACGTGCAAAAAATTATCCGCGCCGGGCGGTGGGGATGCTTGGACGGACACCCTATGTGGATTTATGTAAATATCTCGAAAACGGCGTTGTGTAGCGCCACCGTTTTTGGCACACCTTTTCATACATCTTTTTCACAAATGCTGCATAACTTTCAGACTTAGGTCGCACAAGGTTAGGTCACCAGGTTACGTCCAAGTGGCCTTACCTTAGGAAAAATTATAATGCCCGTCATAGCTACACAGACTATACAATCGGCTTAAAACGTGCAGCAATTGATAAGATCAACAGTATATACGTAGAGTACCTCTACCTGGAAATTTCAATATCACTGACCTAGGGTTCTGTTGATTTTGCGACCTCAGCCCACCAGCACGGCAAATCATTTATTTTGTCAAATTCGGGCTTCTAAACAATTTCCTACCCAGCAACGCAAATTTACGCCTCAATCGCCGGCCAGCGCAGCATAGGCATCTTTGTTACCTACGTTGTTTGCGCCTGCAGTAATACTGTACCGCAATAACCATTATCTTCATCTTTCACCCATAGATGGCAGTAGCAAAGCGCCTGCATCTATGCTGTGCCGCAGTGCTCTTACAATATGAGCTGAGCAATGAGCATTGAGCAAGTAAGTGATATTGAAATCATAGGCGGTGGAACGAGGTGGGCACCGGGGCACCGTGTCCCCCTTTGATTTTGGCATTTTAATATAGCCCTTTCCATGCAACGCCCTATGGGCGTTGCATGGAAAGAATGGGACCAAAAGTCGGCAGTGCCCCCCTTTGATTGAAGGTGTAGGAGCCCGAATTTGACAAAATAAATGATTTGCCGTGCTGGTGGTCTGAGGTCGCAAAATCAACAGAACCCTAGGTCAGTGATATTGAAATTTCGAGGTAGAGGTAGGTACTCTACGTATATACTGTTGATCTTATCAATTGCTGCACGTTTTAAGCCGATTGTATAGTCTGTGTAGCTATGGCGGGCATTATAATTTTTCCTAAGGTAAGGCCACTTGGACGTAACCTGGTGACCTAACCTTGTGCGACCTAAGTCTGAAAGTTATGCAGCATTTGTGAAAAAGATGTATGAAAAGGTGTGCCAAAAACGGTGGCGCTACACAACGCCGTTTTCGAGATATTTACATAAATCCACATAGGGTGTCCAAGCATCCCCACCGCCCGGCGCCGATAATTTTTTGCACGTGCAGAGCGCACCTTTGGGGGCCACCAGAAGATGGATATGCTCAATAACTATGCTGGAATACATTCTGGGTGGCCTGTGTAAATTTGGCACTTTGAGCTTGCCAGCGCAACCCGCCCTACCCGCATGTGTGACACCTGGAGTGCAACATCAAAAGGTTTGCACGTGCACAGCACGTGCACCGTGTACCCCAGCACGCCTATTTGTACAGCACCTTAAAGCGCGTGTCCAGTAGTGTCAGTGTGCCAAATTTGGTGTGCCTAGGTCAAGGTTTTCCGGAATCGGAGGATGCCTCCTCAAAACATGTTTTTCGCCACTAGCGCGTGCATTCCGCACCCCCTGATGCCGAGCATACCATATGTTAGTGGTCGAACACTGGGACATGTGACCTGTGAGTTTGGCACCTGTGCCGCCCTTCGTTTGATGTGAAGCGTCGCTTAAACGTTTTTGCCCTTTGTAAGTTTGTCGGCACGTGGCAGGCGCCATGTGACACCGGGTGACATGTGACATCCATCATCACCTGCCTCAAGGAATTACCCGTCGAACGGTACCACCAGCATCTCGATCCGATCATCCGTTTGGACGCAATTCTAATTGTATTGACTCGATGACCTTCCAGAGCACGGTTTTTTGGCAACGTAAAATGGCGCCTTGTCGGCTTCACTATCTTCCATAGGAGGTCCATTGGGATTGTCAGTCCAGTTTATTTATACGTCCGTGATCCGGAAGCAAAAGTGGCATTGAAATTTTCGTATGCAAGATTTCTTTCGGGATGCACCCTGGCTCTAAAATCGTACGATCTTATTTGACGTGCCACCATTCATGCTAATCACAACCGATTCGCATGAAACTTTGCCTACTTGCTTAGTATCGTAAATTTCAAGGGAATTAGATAATAATTGCAAATGTTATTAAAAAAAGGGGAATATTTGTTTCTGGTCCCTAAAAAGCTGTTTCTGGCACCTAATTGCTGATCAGCCCCAAAATGCTTATTCCACCCTAATATCTGAATCTGGCACCTAATTGCTTCCACACAGCCTAAAGTTGCCAGATCGTCTAGTTGAACTCCGTATTTGCTGTTTGCTGATTCAGCACCAAAACCAAAACATCCAGCACCTATTTTATTCCACGTTTGCCTACCTAATTCGCGTAATCTTCCTGATTTTATGTATCCTAACAACATGAACGTTGCATTCGGTGATGTCAAGTGCCATTTTCGCCAGTGGAGATAATGATTAATGCCATTTCTAGCCAAAAGAGAATCACTAGCCAGCTATGGTGCAGCATAGCAAGACGCTCCTATACCAGCCCGCTATGTAGAGACTAGAGATTATTGCACCCTCAGCCATTTTAACGTGAAAAGTTTGGATCCGTCACTTCCAGCCAGGCTCTCAGGTCATAAACTGGAGTAAAGCAAAATGTCAACTCTGAACAGACATGCCACGCAACCGGCCCTTTTTCAATATTATTAGCTTTCTGCAATCATCGTCTGACTCCATCTCGATCAAACGCAGCATCCGGTTTCTACAGGGGCGTTTGACTGACCGGCCACACAATAACCAAAAACAAAATCAAAGCTTCATGCACACATATGACATAAGTAAGAAACGGATGAAAAAGGCACAACCACGGCACAACTCTGCGCGGCAAACAACGGACAATGTCCCACGCAAGATCCCGCGTTTCTTCAGCGACCTTGAACGGAATGAAAACATTACATTTCTTTTTTGGAGCTATTTGATGACGTCAAAAAATACAATACCCGTTTTAATGGTCAAAATCGAGACAATTAGGTACTCACAAAAAATGTTTTCGTTTAAGCATTACAAATAAATACTTTTAAATATTTAAATGACATTGTTTTTTCAAACAAATCAATATTATTTGCTTACTTAAACGTCATATACAATGCTGAGATCACTACGGGGCTGTCTTAGAGTGTAGCTGCACTGGCAACCTTTAGGCTAGACTCCAGGGGTCATTATACCAGAACAACATGATTCTACCAGCCAGTAGTTCATTTTTCTACTAGATTGGTGCTACGCTCAGCATTTAGGTGCCAGATTCAGAAAAAAGAGTAAGGCGTACCGATGAATAGGTGCCAGAAACAGCTAATTAAGGTCATTTTCCATGATTGGTGCTGGTATCCACCAAATAGGTGCTGAGGACCAATTTTGGGGCGAGTCAGCTTTTAGGTGCCAGAAATAGCTTTTCTGGGACGCAATTAAATGGCGTCCTTAAAAAAATCGGGTAAACTTTTTTCCGGGCGTCCTGTATAATCTGTTAAAGTCATTGTTGTCCGGCACACATCATAATGGTATAGGCAGCAGTTTATTTTCTTCTTTAGCATGGTAACTCGTGCAAATGTTAACATTCGGCCTGAGATACAATTTCAATGGTGCTCACTTTTATTTACTAGTGATGGCCGTGTCCGTACTTGGGCTTCTCGACGTAGACGGGCACCTTGACGGGCACCTTCTCCTCGCGGTAGTGGTGCTTCACCACCGGGTAGTGCTTCACCACCTCCACGTGCTTCACCACCGGCACGTGCTTCACCACTGGCACGTGCTTGACGACGGGCACGTGCTTGACGACCTGGTACGGCTGGGGCACTTTCTTGTAGACGGTGTTGTAGACGGGACGGTAGACGGGCACCGGCTTGACGACCTCGTAGGGCACGCGTTTCACCACCGGGTACGGGTGGTGTTTGACCACGGTGCGCACCTTCTGGTAGCCGACGTGCTCGGTCTGGTAACCATGGTAACCGTGACCTCCATCGGCCAGGGTCACGGCCAGCATGGCGGCTGTCAGAACCTGCCGGACAGTCACACGGACAGTCAGGGCACCGCCGGATCAACTGTCAGATCACACGGACAGTCACCGCCGGATCAACTCTCAGATCACACGGACAGTCAGGGCACCGCCGGATCAACTGCCGGGTCACACGGACAGTCACCGCCGGATCAACTGCCAGATCACACGGACAGTCACCGCCGGATCAACTGTCAGATCACACGGACAGTCAGGGCACCGCCGGATCAACTGCCGGGTCACACGGACAGTCACCGCCGGATCAACTGTCAAATCACACGGACAGTCAGGGCACCACCGGATCAACTGTCAGATCACACGGACAGTCAGGGCACCGCCGGATCAACTGTCAGATCACACGGACAGTCACCGCCCGATCAACTGTCAGATCACACGGACAATCATCGCCGGATCAACTGTCAGATCACACGGGCAGTCACCGCCGGATCAACTGTCAGATCACGCGGACAGTCACCGCCGGATCAACTGTCAGATCACACGGACAGTCACCGCCGGATCAACTGCCGGGTCACACGGACAGTCAGGGCACCGCCGGATCAACTGCCGGGTCACACGGACAGGCACCGCCGGATCAACTGTCAGATCACACGGACAGTCACCGCCGGATCAACTGTCAGATCACACGGACAGTCACCGCCGGATCAACTGTCACATCACACGGACAGTCACCGCCGGATCAACTGTCAGATCACACGGACAGTCACCGCCGGATCAACTGCCGGGTCACACGGACAGTCAGGACACCGCCGGATCAACTGCCGGGTCACACGGACAGTCACCGCCGGATCAACTGCAGAACGCCAACGCTAAGTTATTTGAATCATTAGCCATTTTCGATAGCTTTTCCCTTTAAGCATGACATAGGTACCACCAATTTATGTTTTACATTATTTTCCTGAAAATAAAAAGATATCTCATTTAACACAGAATGTGAGACGGCATCGAATTTCGCAACAGAAAAGCATTTGAAATCATTCTCAGGAATGGTGTGACTTTGACCTTGCTTTGTCCGCTTAAGTTTTTTTTTATTTGTTTTGCTATATCATTTCAATATAGTTATATTTTCGTTTAAAAGAATACAAGGCAAAACATTAACCATTTTATAGAACAAACAGCTCGGGGTATTAGTCCGGACTGACTTGAAGCTGAGACCGAGCCAGAAGACCGATTGAAAATGAGCTCCTGCCGCTTACCAGCAGCTTCATGGTGTGAGTGGAGAGGTGAGGTGAGCGATACTGTGTCGGTGGACGGCCGGCGGCGGCCTTTATAGCGGCCGGCCGCGACGGGCCTGCTGTCCTCGGCACTGCAAGGTCACACATACACACACACGGCTGACGAATCGGCCGGGCGGCACATGGAAAGCCCCGGAGCTTATGCAGTCACAGGTCTAACACAACAACAATTCTTACTTTTTATAGGCATTTGTTATTAGTATGTAAGCTGTCAATATAATTTAAAAAAAGATATGTGTTTAAGCCCTCCGCAGCGACGTGGAGGTGGGGGAGGGGGTACGCTTTTATCCAATTGATAGAAAATGGCAACGTCAAGCATTGCAAACATTTGAACGAATATACCACCAAATACCTATTTTGCGTATGGCGTGCAAGCGATGGTCCCTTCTCTCAAAGGCCAGGCAGACTACTTTGAATGATTGGACCTCACAGATCTTCTCAAATGGCTTTTTTTTGCGAATGGCGCATAGGTATCACCTTTTTTCAGCTTTATTACCTTATGAGAGCCACAATAGATGACCGAGGCCTTTGAAAACTATAGGGTGTTACATGTCTTTACGTACCTACAAGTTGTATGCCTCGGGTTTTCCCTTTAAAAATAGTCCCAAAGCTCGGGTCAGTTGCAGGGGGTACGAATATCTATATTACTATTTGAGGAAGGCGTAGTTTCTGTCTATTACGAAGGTCGCGACATGGTGCTACGTAGCGCGGGTTACAGGTCACACCGTTGCACCTACCGCGCTGAAATTTGCGCAAGTTATAGAACAAGGATGGACAACGTGCCTTTGAGCGGTCTCGGCTCGATCGGATCGATAGCGAGCGCGTGGCGCGTGCCCAAAAAGTGCAAATTCGCGTCATAGACTTTACATGTATAAATCGGCTGGCAAAAACGGGCGAAAATGGCTAAATTTGCCCGACACGGGTCCGTTCCCCGTGCAGTATCTCGGTAGCCGTGCGCCCGATCGGCACGGGGAAAACAGCATCGTGTAGAGAATCGAACGGGCAATCGAATAGTGTGCGGTGCAGGGGTGGCACGCGCCACGTGCAAGTGTGAGGGCAATTTCATTTCAAAAAGTGCCATTTTAAACGGATTTTGGATTTTATTTTATTTTCCCGTGACCATCAGACTGAGAGAGTTGAAACAACGTCAATTGCCAAGAGAAATGTACCGCCTCTCATGGAAAAATTGTGGACAGCTAATTGATCAAAAACAATGTGGAAAAATCGCTGAATTAAAATGGTATTTGTCCATAATGTGCCACTAAAAAGATACACGGGATTTGCTGCTTAACCTGATACGCTTGACAATTGAAAATGCTATCATTAGAAAGAGCATTCAATTCTCTCCAAGATCCAATCATCACGTTTGCATGACAAGCAACAGTATTCTTAAAAATATAAATGTTTTAAACCTCTGCAAAACGATTTTTAGCGAAAATTATCTACGCCTTTCATTTGTCTTAAAACTACGCACCTCAATTATAAAGCACATTTGACAGATTTTGAAGTAAAAAGCATGCTTATCAGACACGGGCACCTCGATGCGATGGATATTTTTTCCACAAACCAAAACGTTTAGCCGTCAAAAAGCAATCGACCGAAATGGATAGATAACCCAACCGACACAAGAACAACCGAACACCCGCCGATCGAAAATATCCCTTTTCGCGTTGCGGAGCACGCGGGTCACCCTAGTACCACTACTATTGGTACATTACTTACTATAAGCATGAGCTAATTCATGGAAAATCACGTGACTCACTTTCGCAAATTTGCGTCTTAATGGAGACTTTTACACCACTCATGGACCAAACGTGCCTGTTCAGATGTTTGCCATTTGTTTGCCTGGACTGTTTGAAATTTGACAACTGCAGGGTCATGTGACGTCATTAATGGTTACCAAAATGTTTCCTGATAACTTTCACAAAAAAGGTGTACACGTAGAGCAACATAAGCAAAGAAAAGGAATAGAAATTATTTCGTATTATAATAAGTCGCCCAAATATTATCATTATAGAAGTATATTGTATATATGCAGATGTTATAGAATTAAATATTATTATTATAGATGCATATTGTATATATTTAGATGTTATAGATTTAAATGTTATTACTATAGATGTACGAGTATGCCAAACGCCTTCGTCGCCGAGGCGTGTAGTGTGCCACCTTCCAATGATTTCCCATTTTATTTTTCCTAGGATAAGAAGCTTCTGTTTTTACCTAATATCGCAAAAAAAAATCAAAAATGGGCCTGGAATAGTGCCTTTTTGCCTAAAAGTTTATCGGTTTTTCGATATGTATAACAACTGTAGTGGGCTGACCTGCAAACAGGCGTCGACAACAATCGCGAATGCGGCGCACATGTGACAATAAGCAAAGGTCATTATAGAGTTACAACGTACGGGAATGAGTTTTCAGCTGTCTAATCGTAGACAACGCAATGTCGAACTTAAACTGTAAGCCTGTATTGGTATTGTTTCTTTAATTTGGCTGTCCAACATTAATTTATGGTTTGAAATATGATTTTATGTAAAATAATTGATATGAAACAGCCGTCTCTTAAGTTATGACCCCATTTCACCACACGCAAGTGGCAGAAATGACAATGATCAGCTGACGCATTTTTCTTGGCCGAAGTCAGAGCGCGCGGCCCGACGCACCACGCGTATTTGGAAATTCCGACCTCGACGAGCATCAGAAGCCACCATGAAGCCACCTAACAGGCGTGTTCGAAACCGCAGGAGATGATGATGAACGGGTTTATCGAAACTTGATTGGATGAGCCTCTCGGTAATAGCGATTTTAGTGTGTGCATTTATTGTTCATAGTGGTGGGAAATGTGGTTGGGGTACGACCGACAATCCGTCGGGGCGAATTTCGCACTGGGGTACTCAAAATTTGAAGAATTTAAGACGTTTCCATGAGTTTTGAAGGTATGGATAAGTTCTAAAAATCCGGTTCTCCTTATCCGGTTCATTAACTCCATATGGTCCAAGAAAGCTGGCACACTACCTTTAAGCTCAAACCTAGTATAGATGTACAATGTACATACATATATGTTACAGGGAGTTTGAGAAATCCGTGAGTTTGCTAACTCCTTAGGGAGTTTGCAAACTCCCTGACCCATGAGTGAGTTTGAAAACTCGTTAGGGAGTTTACAAGGGAATTTTCAAACTCACTGACGGGTCAGGGAGTTTGAGGGCCCCGCACTGGCTGGTAAAGACCTGATGACGGCCTCTAAGGGCCTGCATTGGCCTCTGAGAAAGGCCCATCTTGACCTTTGAGGGCCTTCTGCTGGCCTCTGGGGTCCAACGACGGCTCATGCCGGTCTTTTAGAGCCCCACGCTGACCTCTGAGGGCCCCGTGTTGGCCTGTAATGAGTAAGGACCCACATTAGCCTCTGAGAGCCCAGCTCGGTCTCTGATGGTCTCAAACTACCGGCCTTTGCAGTTTGCAGGCCCTGTACTGGTCTCTGAGGGCCCTAAACTGGCCTCTAAGTGAAAACATACATGGGTGGGCTTCTGAAGATCAGAGGGCTTACGCAGACTCCTGCACAGCCTTACGTTGGTCCTGATCGAGATCACTTTACGTCCTGATGGTCCCGCGTAGATTCCCTCATATCTCGACGTCGGGACCCCATGAGCCGTTGTGGGTCCTGGGGCTGGCAGAGACTGATGAAGTCCTCAGGACTCAGGGCCAGTCTTTTTGGCATGAGGACTAGGCATTTGAGTGAGCCCCAATAGAGCC